CACAAATCAGAAGAACAAGTGTTTTTAACTAAGGAGGCAATAAAATCTAAAACAAAATATAACTTAGGGTTTTTCTTGGTTAAAATTGTATTTATATGTGGCTGAAACAAACCGGGTCGACCCAGAATAAACCAGGTCAGATCCAGCTTAAACCAGAAACTGGCCTATCTAAAGCAGATGGGCAGCCTGGCGGGTTCACAAACCGGCAGGTTTGTGCGAGAACGTGCCACCCTGGTAGGCCGGCGGGTGCTCCAAACCGGCGGGTTTGTGCGAGAATACACCACAGTGGTAGGCCGGGGGTGCTCCAAACTGGCGGGTTTGTGCGAGAGTGCACCACACTGGTAGGCTGGCGGGTGCTCTAAACCGGCGAGTTTGTGCGAGAATGATCCCCTTGCTTCTTCATGAATTTCCTAGCTTCACTCCTTTTTCCACTGCTACCTCGTGTCCTTAAGTCCCAAAAAGCTCCACAGTATTCTCAAAGCACACAAAATACAATGCAAATGCAACAAAATGACATGGAACTCTAATATAATACTAGATGATGCAAACAAGACTCAAAAGCACTAAAATGATTTCTAAAAGATATGAAACATAATGGAAACCAAACAAAACAAGAGCTAAGAATCCATAAATCCTACACATATCAATGAGATGGAAGGAGGTGTACCACAAAGGCTGTGTAAGGCCGTTGGTAGAACACAAGGAGGTTTCTCAAACAATGGAGGACTGATCTCAACAAGGTTTAGAGAAAGAACGAGATTTTGCCTAAAATGTTAAGGAAGAAGAACTGCTCGTTTTTATTAATAAAATCAAAAGTGTGGGACTACAATGCTGCAGAGGAATCTTATTAAGGGGTTCTTCAGCTTTAGGTTTAAGGAAATAAAAAAAAATACAAAAGTGCAAAAACGAAAATACAAAAGTGCATTCAAAGAAGAAAATCAAGAATTAAAACTAATTACATCACAAAAACAAAATGATGGGATTATTCAAGATATAAATCTTAAAGAAAATTTTTAAATACTTACCTTTCTTACCTTTGGCATGAAGAATGATTTGTGTCCATAATGGCTTTATCTTGACCGTGTGCTTATTTTATGCGATATGCTCCTCTTGTGTGACTGTAAGGATATGAACTTGGCCTGTCTTCGCAATATGGGCTATACTTCATTTTTATTTGTATTATTCAATCCTTGAATGTCCTCGCATAGTCCGTTCCAATGCTTGTCTAGTGGTTCTTCTTGTATGTTTTGAACAGCATGGATGAGAGCTCGATCATACTTGTCCTGGAGGGCTCTAGCTCTTTTTCTTATCATAGCTATCTCCTTTAAGTTCAACGGGTAACTCAACCTCTTGAGTATCCTGTAGTTGTGGTTTGGTTAAGTCTGGCTCAGTTTGGAGGTTCTCATCATCATGCTAACTTGCCTGCCTTTGTGTTTTACGTGCGTTGAATCTTTGAGATTAAGAAGAATCCAAACTCCATTTTGCTCCTCTTGTATTCCTCCAAGTGTAGTGAGAATGCCGGTCACTCCATTGGGTTAGACACCATCTTCACCAATTCGGAACTGTATGTGGCAAAAGCAACTGCCAATCGTCTTTCCTCGAGCATGCAATGCATTGCCAATATCAATGCGCCCAATTATGTGTACAGGGATGATATACTACATCATATAATACGTGTCCCCTTAAACGTTCTCATCGAACCCACTCCTTGATTGAACCAAACCAATCATGCATTGGGCACTCCTTGTTTCCATGATCCATCTATGCGACGGATGATCTTGTCATTGGTAAAAATATCATTTTGCGTATTTTGTGGTATAGTTACCACTCTTTCATCTGTCTGAGCCTCTTCCCAAGCATGTGCTTCCGCATTCGCTAGTTTTACTATCTTCTGAGGTTCCCGATCAATGATTGAAGAACTTTTGTCATTTCTCATCTTACAATATACCATAAATTCCAATGATATACCTTCATGTTTTCATAATTTGGTAAATGCTAAAACAAATTTGCCATGTTTGAGATAAAAAAATCCATGGAAAACCGATGTAAAGGTGTGGGTATTAACGATAATGCTCAAACTTGAAATGCTGGTTAACATTTAAAGAGTGTATGATTGATAGTTTCCATGTCTGCGCTACATCTTAGGACATTGAGAATGGCAATTAACACCTCTACTCTGAAGACGGTCCAGAACCACCAAACATCACGAGATTATTTGCCACATAAAATGTTTCATTTTTGGTGGACATTTGACCTTCCATATGTACGCCTGTAATTGACTCACATCTGGCCCAAACAATATAGTGATGTCACTCTGTTGGGGGTAAGCTTGTTCTGTTATATATGCCGGCTAGAGTGTATATCTCCCCGTTTTGTAAAATTCCATCCCAAAGTATTCGGACGTTTGATTCTGGTAGTTGTCATCCCAATGATCAAGGGTATATCCTTCGATGATATTAATTGTTCAAGTAGTTATAAATTTCACGTTGATGTTACTGTTAGTTATGAGTAATAATTATACCATTTGCAAGATGCTGATCTTTGGCGTGATGATGGAATCCATGGGTCATTCCAAACAGAAATAGAATGACCAGAACCAACTCTTTTGATAAGCAGTTTTTGTACCAGAGATCTAGCAGATGTGATACTCTTCCATCCAAAAGATGGAGAATACGACCGTATTGGATCTAATGGTGTTCCGTTTCTGAAGTATCGGCCTTTAAAAACTCTCACAAAAAGAGAGTCCAGGTATTCAATAAGTCGACAGAGCTGTTTAGCCAGTAAGGTTGTGTTAAAATATTCAATAACACAAAAGCTTAGCCCACCTTTGGGTTTTGATTTACATAGCTTACTCCAAGCAAGCCAATGCATGCCACACGTTTCTCCATTATTACTCTACCATTTGCCGTCGTGCTTGTAAGTTTTATGGTGATTGTTTTTGGTAATCTAAAGCAAGACATAATATATGTCAGAACTGCTGTAACCATATATTTGATAAGAATCTTCTTGCCACTCTTCGATATTAACTTAGATGTCCATCTATTAATCCGTTTTTGCTGCCTATCTAAGAAAAAATTAAAAATCTTTTTCTTAGCCCCTCTAAGACTCTCTCGAATCCCCAAATATGCTCCCATCCCTCCAATATTGGTGATGTCTAGTACATTGTGTAGCGATTCACGTAATGATGTATCCACAATATGTCCAAATTGTACCGATGATTTATCAAAATGATTAGTTGGTATGAGTCTGACTCATTTTGTTTTAGGATATTTAATAGCACACACTTCTTTCTGGGTCGCCTTACAAAAGAATAAACTATCATCCACAAAAAACATATGCGAGACCGTCGGACTTGCTCGTGCGATCTTCATCCCGTAACTAACTTTTCCCGTTTTGCTTTCTTCAAATTAGATATTGATACCTCTGTAAAGAGAATAAAAAAAAACATGGCAACAAGAGGTCATTATATAAAGTAACTATTAAAAAAAAGAAATATACACAAAAAAAAGAAATATGTATTAATTAGACAAAAAATAAAAACTTAGAGCATTATGGTCTTTATTAGATTATATACACAAAAACACCTTATACTTTTATGGTCACATTATTAATATCAATCCCATTAGAATTCAAAGCATACAACAAATATGAATTAAAATATTTTAATACATACAAATTTGGAATATACTTTCATCTACTAAAATGACCGGTATAACTTATAAATATTATTTTTATGACAAAGTATTACTAACAAAAAGTAATAACGCCAACCCTGACTTATTGCTTCCAACAATCCATCTTGACCAATCCATCGTTTATCAAAGCTGAACTGGCGTCGACGTTTTATTTTCTTTGTTTCAATTATCGTAATGATAGGTCTATGATCGGATCCAATCATTTTTAAATATTTTACATGTGAAAATAGAAATAAATCATGTCATTCCTCTGTAGCGAGACCCTTAACCTATACCGAACATTTTGCCTGTTACATCAACCTTTCCAAGACAAGGTATTTTCCCAATTTGGAAAGTCAATTAATCCATAATTTCTAATCATTGTATTAAAACCTATAAACGAAGACACCTGTCTAAGCGCACCTCCTTATTTTTCATGGTTACCTATTATTTCATTAAAATCACCAATTAAAAATCACGGTTTATTTCTGGTCAAAATTATTCTTATTAACCGTTCTCATCCATAATTTTGAAATCGGATCACCATAAACAAAAGATATGTAAGTTAATTTTCTTTCAATAGTCACCTCAATATCTATCAGCCTTTTATTATAAAATAAAATAGTAACATCGAAAAATTTATTATAAAATAAATCAAATTCGCTACTAACACTATACAGATCAACTGTATACATCATATCATAATCAAAATGAAATTAAAACTACTCCAATAAATTAAAACATTGTTTTATTTCTAAAAAAAAAAAAATTCGGTTTGAATTTTCTCCAAAATTCTTTAAAATAATTTATTGTGTATCTGTTACCCAAACTTTAACAATTTGGGAACAGACAATCTAGCCATTACTTCAACTTAAATCATGTTAATCATTTATAACGACAACTAAAAAAAAAAAATTCACTTTCATGGATAAAAACTTCAAGTTTCAACTATTTATCTAGTTAGGTCAATTCGGCGCCGACACTTGTAAAAAATAATCACTAGACGATAATTCATATTGTCGCCTGTCTTTGTAAAATGGACGAATAAGTAAAGAAACATAAATTGTTCTCCTGAGTAATATGGGCTCGGAAGTTAAAAAGGATAGGTCCATTACAAGGCCCAGATTTGAGTGGTAACACCGTACACCGCATGTATATTCCCATACGAATCCTGCCAAAAAAAAGTCCTAGTTACGAGCTCCAACAGATAAATAATACATTCTTCTCCAGTTTCGACCCGATAAATCTTAGGAGACAATAAAGAGAATTCGAAGAAGCAACTAAAAATCTGGGAAAGAAGTTATCGATAGATCTGTTTTGCTGAAGTAATGTCTCTGACATGCGTTAATATGACCGAGGATGTCTGGTTGACTTGCCTCACTCATGCATTGTCCACCGAGACCGAAGAAATCATGGGTCTTCTTCTCGGCGACATCGAGGTTCCGACTCTTCAATTCTTGATTTTTCGTTTCTTTTACTCTTTTTTATCTTCGGATTTTTATGCCCTTTTGTCTCGTCTTCTCAATTTCGCTGGATTCGATATTGCTTTAGATTCTTTGCTTGCAACTGTAGCTTTAATGAACTTTTCGATAAATTCATTCTAAATCATTTGGATTTGCCTCTATAATCTCCGTGTAAGATAATTTATCAATCAGTCAATCAATCACTGAGTTTCAGTTTTCTCATTCTTCATTGTGGTTTTGGACATTGGTTAGTACTCAAAAAACGGAAGTGCCACAGCTCTGATCTGGGGAGCATCGCCTCAGTCACGGTCTGATCGGCAAAAGGATCGAGTAGAAACCAATCCTGAACAGTTGGCTGCTGCGTCAGCTCAGGCTGATATATCCTTGAAAAGATTTACTGCTTTTCGTTTTCTGTGTCACAGATTATTCAGATAGTCTATGTGTGGTGCTTCTTGTATATTGTAGATATGGTTTGGTTAAATATTGGTAATTTTTCCTTAACTAACCTCGACACAAAATGACCATATCAACGGGTAGAACAACACGGGTGATAGGATGGTACCACTCCCATCCTCATATCACCGTTCTTCCTTCCCATGTCGGTATGTATGATCATTCTTGTGACTTTAATGATTAAAGCATTTGTTACCGATGATCATTATGCTAGTTTAGGGTTGACTAGTTGCATATAGTTTAATCTTCTTTTTTTCATATTCATGTCCTGTTTTTTTTTTTTTTTTTTTGCAGATGTACGGACACAAGCAATGTACCAGCTTTTAGATTCTGGGTTTATTGGTCTCATATTTTCCTGTTTTAGTGAAGATGCAAACAAGGTTAGTATTTGCTATGAGTGGATTGGGAAGTTGAAATGTTTTTCTCAGCTTAGTTGATGTTTCCAGGTTGGTCGAATCCAAGTTATCGCTTTCCAGTCCTCTGATGGAAAGCCGAATTGTACTCCTACATCAATGAGCCTGGTACTTGCAACTAAAGATTCTATCATCGATTTAGATTCGTCATTAAGTTCTTCAGACTCGGCATACCAGAGATCCTCTTCTGCTCATGTTGACAATCCTGAGCATGACACAAGTGATACAGCTACAACTTCCGTATCTAAGGTCCAAAGGCTCTCTCTTGCCTATAGAAATTTACTCGACCTTAATGAAAGTTGTCACATATAGCATAACTCATTGGCATTCTGATCGAACCATTGGTTACTATATACACATTGATGTCTGAGCCTTGTATGTGTGTATCTCTGAGTAGGGTGGAGGGCGAGTTTCAGATTTTGGGGATTTCTTTGTTAACAATACTGAGGCCAACAGCACCGGGAGAGATGGAACAAGTGGAAACTACAGCTCAGCTATAGAAATTGATACAATGGACATGTCTGAAAGCATGCAAGAGGCGATGCTCCGTTCAAATTTGGAAACCAGGTAATTTTTAACATGCGCTTTTGGGGCTTATGGAGAACATAATGCTCCATTCATCTACGCAATGACTTAAGCTAAAGTCTTTACATGCAGCGGTGTTGGGTATGTTAGAAAAGAAGTCCCGCTTCATGTTTTGCCGACTTTGTCCCTTCTTCAACTAAATTCACCTTTAGCATCTTTTAAGGATCTGCAACGAGTACTCTACGAGGAGGAACGAGCAGCGTACCACCAGTCTCTCCTGCAAAGCATGAGGTTTTAGATTCAATCTTTGTTATACCTACCTTATCATAGAGAAAAAGCTCATTCTGTTTCTTGTTTAGAGCCGGGAAAGTACATCCTCTCACTTTCATTCACAACACATCGACATATCAGGCTTCCATGTGCAAGCTGATGGAATACTGGTTAGTGAAGCATGCTAAAGCATTCGATATGTAGGTTTATCATTTTCTTGTCCTCTGCATACATGGGCTTCATTCTTTTGCAGCTTGAGTCCCGCCATTAACGCACTTCAAGATAGGGTGAGGGAGAACAAGATCCGGGTATGTTACTTAACATGGATATTGTGTTTCTGTTGTTTCTGAAGCCTGAAACCTGAAGCATGTTGTGTGTCGTGCAGTTAGCAATGTTGATGGAAGAAGCACAGAAACTTAACGGAGCAGATACGAGCGGAGGACCATCTCGTCTGGTTCAGGGTTCTGGCAGCCGAAGCAGAAGAGATTCTCGAAAGATCTCCGACTAGAGGCATATGCCTTCCTCTGTGTATTTTGCCATATTCAGACATCACTTTACACCTGTAGCATTATTTGTTTTTTTGTTGTTGTTATGGAATATCAACTTTCTCCAAGAGATGATGATGATATGTACGTATGTACAATTATATGTTCATAATGAATATTATGTGATTGTAAAAACAGGAACTTTCATTGCACATTCATGATGAAAACCAAAATTGATTGTATAGAAAAATAAAAGTTTTTGACCATTTCTCTCGTCTAAAATAATAGTGAGTTCTTCCACCTCTTTGAATACAAGTTAATGAAGCAGAAGCCTAGTCTTCTTCCGTGGGGGGGGAGAGAGAGATTTGCAACAGCAACACCTGATGATCTTCTTGCTTGCGAGAAACAGCGTAGGATAGACATGAACCAAGTTTCTTTACGCACTTATCCCACCATGAGCTGAGTCCATTAGAATACCCCCAATATATCAAAGGCGTTCCAATAAACCTGTAATAAAAATGTTATCTTTTTGAAATATTTAGTTGATATTCCATATAAATTTATGGTCAAATTTTAGAATTAAAATATATCAAAATATTAATGTTATTTTAATAAGAAATTTGTTATAAAATCTTGTCATAACGTAGATGTTCTATAATTTATTACAAAGTCTTGTCATAAAGTAGATATCTCATCTACCTTGATGCTCTGTAATTTGATTTGAAATGACGTAAAATATTTTTCTTATCATAATTAATTATAAAAAAATTAATGAATCATATTATTAATTGAGAAACAAATTGGATTGTGGGTGAAAGTTATGATGGTTCATTACATTTTATCCTTTATATAAAAATATTTGAAAATAAGATCAAAATAATATATTTTGTTTTATCATAAAAAATAATATACTCATGAAAATTATATTTTTTAATATATTAAATTTGATTTCAAAACATTATAAAATCTGATTTTTTAATCTATAAATAAATTAATGTTATATTTTTTAAAACATTTAATCGGATCCCGCACAAAATGCAGGAAACACGTAGTAAATAATTAATTAAAAATAACAAAAATAAATTAAAGTTATTAATTTTTTCTTATTATATAAAAATGTATATATCAAAATTAATAATTCACTTGATCGACATATGGTAAATCTTTCGATTTAAATTTAAAAATTATTAATAAATTTAATTCTTTGTTATTATAAATCTGCTTATATTCATAATTTAGTAATCTATAATCTACGGGCTGGGAGAGAAGTAAGAGTGTTAAGTGCATCTATAACCACAATAAACGCACGACGTTAATGAAAATAGTTTTTAAAAAAACCACAAAAACATGACTAAAAGAAAGGGGGATTATTTGTTGTTTATAAAAAGAAAGGGACAAGATTGCAAATTCTCGATATTTTCTTGCCGCTGGATGGAAAAAAGCTGGACCAAAAAAGCAGTGTTTGAGTCTCTCTGGTGCATATTAATGGCGAGTGTGACTTAAAAAACGACAAAAGAGACAAACCAGCCTTTGGGACGGGAAAGTCTCCGTACTCTCTCGCAGAGCACACAACATTCTCTCTCTATCAATTTCCTGTTATATCACACCAACATCTCCCTTTCTCCATATATGAATCTTCTTCTTCCTGGTCCGTGAAATCGAAAAGTGAGCCTCTCTTAATATTTGCCTATCAACACTCATTTCCTCGCTCTCTCTCTCCTCTCTCCATATTTGAATCTTCTTCTTCCTCTTTCGTGAAATCGCTTCTTCTTTTCTCAGACTTGTTTTTAAGAAAAATTCATGAGTTTTGGACGAGCTTCGGATCGTCGTCTTCCTGATGAGTTTCTACCCACAAGTATTTGGAGCAGACTCGAACCGGTTCAGGTCGACCCAAGAGGTTTTGGGCTTTCTGGGTATGTGCAGAATCTGAGCGAAGCTTCTCGCAACGTTTCCTCTGCCCTCCAAGCTTTTCTCCGAAGCACCTCTCATGGAGTTTCTCTAGAAGAGCTTCAATTGTGTAGAAATAGGTATTGAACTGCCTTGTCTTATTAACAATGATCAACCGAAGTATTTATACACAAACATGTTGGCTAAAACCATTTCTAGAATTAAGTAAATTATCCTATCTTTATAGGAAATTATACATATTCCCTTAGATTTACATAGATCGTATCATTATAGTAAATATCCTCAATACTCCCCCTCACGTTAGAGCGGGAAGATTATGAAGCCCAACTTGGACAATAAGACATCAAATTGAGCTTTACCAAGTGTTTTAGTCAAAATATCTGCAACCTGAACATCGGTACGAGCATGCTCGGTGACGATAACTCCTTCACGTACCGCATCTCGCACAGCATGACAATCATTTTCGATATGTTTAGTACGTTCGTGAAACACAGGATTCGCGGCAATATGAATGGCTGCTTTGCTGTCACAGAATAGACGAGTAGGCGTGGAAACGTCAATACCTAGTTCTTTGAGCAACTTGCGAATCCATTTGATTTCCCGTAAGGCTGCAGACATTGAACGGTACTCGGCTTCAGCGGAGGAGTGAGATATTATATCCTGCTTCTTAGTCTTCCAAGAGATAGGAGAACCACCAAACAGAACAACATAGGCGCTGAGAAATCGTCGTGTCAAAGGACAAGATGCCTAGTCGGAATCACAGAAAACAGTGAGCGAAAGGTCTTCGTTAGCATCAATCATGATTCCTTGACCCGGAGAACCTTTAAGAAACCGCACAACCCAAAGTGCTGCCTCCCAGTGAGCCTCTTTAGGAGTTTGCATGAATTGAAATAACACATGAATCGAGTAGGAAAGCTTCGGACGTGTGTTAGTGAGGTATATCAGTCGACCCACTAAACGGCGATACTTTGTTGGGTCGTCAAGGAGTGGACTTTCTACGAGCGCTAAACGATGATTTTGTTCCAAAGGTGTGGAAGACGGCTTAGAACCAAGAAGACCACTTTCAGCAATGATGTCTAAAGCATATTTGCGTTGCGAGAGATAGATTCCTTCTGGTCCACGACTCACCTCTATACCGAGGAAATACTTCAATTTTCCCAAGTCTTTCATGTGAAAGCAATGGCCGAGATAATCCTTAAACTTAGCCAGCATATAGTTATCGTTTCCTGTAACCACCAAATCATCAACATAAACTAAAATGCGAAGCTCAATGCCTTTGCGTGAAAAGGTGAATAAGAAGTAATCTTCATAAGACTGAACAAAACCGAATTTTAGAAGTGCCTCAGACAACTTAGAAAACCAACACCGTGAGGCTTGTTTAAGTCTATAAAGGGACTTATTAAGGCGACAAACTTTGTCGGGATGAGAATGACGAAAACCAAGAGGCAATTTCATATAAACTTCCTCTGTTAAATCACCATGAAGGAATGCATTATGGACGTCCATCTGATTCACTTCCCATTTATTAGCAGCAACAATAAAAGAAGAGTGCGGACTGTTTTCATCTTCACCACCGGAGAAAATGTCTCATTGTAATCCTCTCCAGCAACTTGATTATTTCCTTGTACTAGCAAACGAGCTTTATAACGTTCTACTTCACCATCGGCATGATATTTGATCTTAAAAACCCATTGACAACCAATAGCTTCTTTCCCGGGAGGTAGAGTCTGAATACTCCAAGTTTGTAATTTTTCAAGTGCATCAATTTCATCAGATACAGCCTTAGTCCAGCGTGGATCCAGCATTGCTTCCTTAAAATTTTTGGGCTCGACATTGTCTACAATTGCAGTGAGAAAAGCACGATGCGTAGGAGAGAAGGAAGCATCAGATACATAAGCAGTTAAAGGATAGACAACCGTACCTTGGACCGTTGAGGACTTAGATGTGGAGACTAGGAGAACGTGATGGGGGTCTTCAGAGGAAACAGCACTATATAGAACATAATCGCGGAGACGCGCCGGCAACTCTTTGTCACGCTGACCATGGCCGAGAGGATCAACAAGATTGTTTTCAGCAACCGGACTTGGAGATTGTGCTGAATTGAAAGGAATCAAATCCGAACTTGATGGTGTTGCAGGTTCTTGTGTTTCTGCAGTATGTGGTGGCGTTGCAGGTTCTTGTGTTTCTGCAGCATGTGGTGGTGTTGCAGGTTCTTGTGTTTCTGCAGAAGGTGAAGGTTCTTGTGTATCTGCACTAGTCACGGTACGAGATGATGGAGTACCGTCAATGCTCCCCGTGACTACTGACGACGGTTGTATACACCAGTCTTCATTACTGATTTCTGGCGATAATGTCACTGTATCGTTAAGTGACTTGACAGAGAAAGAAAATACATCTTCCCTGAATACAACATCACGTGAAACAATAAACTCATTGTTGTCTATGTCGTACACCTTCCAACCTTTCTTACCGAAAGGATATCCCACAAATACGCACAAGCGACTTCGCTCACCAAATTTATCTTTATCTCTTGCAGCACGATGTACATAATAGGCAGAGCCAAACACCCGTAACTGGCCGTAATCTGGTGGACTTCCATGAAGAATGTCATACGGAGTACGACCCTTATGAAGAGCTGTAGGTGTGCGATTGATCAAAAATGCAGCTGTGAGGACAACCTCTCCCAAAAACATAATAGGCATGTTGGCCTGAAACATAATCGCACGGGACACATTGAAAATGTGTCGGTGTTTTCTCTCGACACGGCCATTCTGCTGAGGTGTTCCAACACAGGATGTCTGATAAACAATTCTCTGTTCTCGGAAGAAGGAAGACATACACATGAACTCGGTACCATTGTCGCTACGTACCATTTTAACTGACTTGCCAAATTGCTTATCAGTGTATGCAAGAAAGTTGGTCAATACTCTGCGCACTTCTGATTTTTCTAACATAAAATACGTCTATACTGCTCTCGAGAAGTCATCAACTATTGTTAAAAAATAAACGGCTCCACAGGAGGAAGGAACACGATGGCCCCCAAATGTCGACATGAATAAGATCAAAACATGCGTTCATTTTATTTAAACTATCAAGAAAAACTTCTCGAGTTTGCTTAGCTCTAAAACACACGTCACAATGACCTGAGCTAGCGGAATGTGAAAAATCAGAAAACAAAGGCAACGCCGAAAACACTGAAAAAGATGGATGACCCAAACGCTGATGCCACAAAGCTGGTTCCGAAACACCCACTGCCTTATGACTCTTTGCTTCGACAACGTCCGTAAAGTAGTAAACCCTATCCCGTTTTTCACCGGTTCCAATCATAATCCTCGAAAAACGGTCCTGCAATACACATATTGTATCAATAAACATAGCAAAGCAATTTGTTTGCTTCAGAAGTTTCGAAACTGAAATCAATGTGCAATTTAAATCGGGCACATATAACACATTGTGTGTAAAGAAATAGTGACAGAGAGGCGAAAAACGCCTTTGCTTAATGCTAGCGTTTTACTCCCGTCTACAAACCCAACGGAATAAGGAGAGATCATCTCGATATTGGTCAAAAGGGACAGATTTTCTGTCATATGGTGTGAAGCACCAGTATCGAGAATTACATCTCCCAATTCTCTCTTACCAGACAACTTGTCACTGTTGGGTGTATTCGCTTTTGCTTGCACCATTCGCAACAGAGCCTTTCACTAATATGGCGTCAAGTCTGGAAACCCAGATTCATTTGAACTAGTAGCGTGAGCAGCTGAAGCTTGACCACGACCACGACCGGAGCTAGAGCCTGAACCACGTCCGCCTCTGCCCCTACCTCCTGATCGAGCAGCTCTTTCTGTGAACCACTCCGGAAAACCAACAAGTTGCCAGCAGCTCTGTTTCTCATGACCCGATCGACCACAATGAGAGCATTACATGTTTCGTGAACGCTGAATGGAATCCTCTGGACGGGTAGTATGTTGCTGATCGGCCTTTTCAACTGTTGATGTTTGACGAGCAACAAAGCCAACAACCACCTGTTGTTGCTCACGCTTACGAGTCGAGTTCAACCTCTGTTCCTCCCGAATGATTTTAGCGTATATCTCACCAAGCTCAGGAGTAGGATCTGCACTAATAATCTGGGTGCACACACTGCCAAACCTTGCATCGTCAAGGCCCATAACAAATTGATGTATCTTCTCTGCTTCTTGTTCTTTTGCCATCTCTGCAGCAGCTCCACACGAACACACATAAACAGGGCGATAAGCCTGCAGTTCCTCCCACAACGTTGAGAGTTTGCCGAAATACTCAAGAACACTCTTGCCTTCTTGCCAACACGACGCTAATTGCGCCTTAATCTGGTGAATTCGAACCTTGTTGCCCACTGAAAAACGCTGCTTCAGATCGATCCACAACGGATCCATCCGACAATCATAGAATTCACCGTTAACCAGTCTTCTAGATCGGGGCTGTCGCTAGCTGGTTTCTTCAAAGATCCATTGAAGAACCCTAACTTGCGCTTTGCTTGGAGAGCATTAAGCATCTCCGAGGCCCATTCATTGTAGATTTCACCGTTCAACTGAACTGAGGTGATCATGGCGCCGGGATTATCCGACCCATACAAAGAGTACGGCGAGACCATGGAGACCTCACCAACAGATTTCGTCACCGACTAAACATCACTAGAAGACGAGTCAACTCTATCAGACATCCTTGAAACTTTTTAGTAAAGAAGACACGAAACTTGAGAAACACGAAACCTTTGAAGGGAGAAAGAAGACGATTTAGAATAAGAGAACTTGATAAAATTAGATTAATCTTAGCTCTGATACCATGTAGAAATATGTATTGAACTGACTTGTCTTATTAACAATGATCAACCGAAGTACTTATACACAAACATGTCGGCTAAAACCATTCCTAGAATTAAGTAAACTATCCTTATCTCTATAGGAAATTATACATATTCCCTTAGATTTACATAGATCGTATCATTATAGTAAATATCCTCAATAAATTGCTTGGCTCTCAAGATTCCGTTAACTCCAAAGCGTTTGAAGAGATGATGGATCTTAACAATCACAGAGATTTTCTCTTGCACCATATAAATCGACCCACAAAGCGTACTTCACCTCCTTGTCTCAAAAGCGTCTCTCTTGAGAACGATCCGTTGATGATGTTTGAGGGAAATAGGATTTCACGAGCCCCCGCCACCATGGAAGCTTCTTATCCAATGAAGAATCTCAGAGGCGTCTCTCTTGGGAACGATGCGGTAATGTTTGAAGACAAAAGGGTTTCACGAGCTTCTTATCTAGAGGATAATCCAAATTGCGTATCTGGTTTGCGTTGGGAACTTGCTTCCATGGTTAACACGTACGGATCTGTGAACTTAGTGGCTAAAAATCAGATGGGTTCCAGACTTTTGCAGAGATTGGTCGATGAAGCAAGGTTTCTTGATGCCCTATTCATTGAAGTCGTTAACCATGTTGTTGAACTCTCCATGGATCCATTTGGGAATTACATCATCCAGAAGTATTAGATGTGTGTGATGAGGAACAGAGAACGATGACTGTGAGTGTTTTGACATCAAATCGAGTGACGCTCATCGAAATCTGTCTCAACAATTATGGGTAAGTTTTTAATTTTTCTTTCCATCAATTTTTGTTCTTTTTGCTACACATTTGGTGACAGAAACAGATACTGTATCAAGTTCTCTGCTTTATTAATTTAGTGAACAAGTTATAATACTACAAAACTATTTGATTCATTATTCATTAAAAAGAAAAAACAAAAACAAATAAATTTCTCACAAGTCCACAAGTTTTCAATGGAGATGGAGATGTTTCATCTTTTGTTGATTAGGATGCAATAATTTTTGGTTTTGGAGAAAGAAAAATATTTGCTTTATTTGGAAATATTTGAAACCTCTGCATAGTTTGGTATAAGATTCAAACATTGCTATCAATAAAAGAAGGCAACATTTGGTAGAAAAGGGTAAATATTCAATTTGTTTTTGGACAAAAACTAGCAAAAAAAGATGAGACCTTTGGGCAAAAGCATTGAAATTTGCTCTCTCTGTTTTCTGTTTTCTGTTTTCTAATTATTGTGTTTTGGAATGAAACAGGACTCAAGTTGTACAGACGATGATCGAAAAGGTGAAGACTTCTCAGCAGATTGAGATGGTGAAGTCAAGTATCAAATCTGGCTTTCTTCATCTTGTTAATGACATGAATGGGAACCATGTGATCCTGAGTTGCTTAAAGTCTCTTGGTCCTAACGACTACAAGGTTTGATTACATCTCCTTCTTTTGTTTCTTACTTAGCTATGATGACTTAACATATTCTAATCACTGATGTAATGCTTCTTTGATCAGTACAAACACAAAACTGCTCAAATGTGTGTTTTTGTGTGGCCAAATCAAAATTGCAACAACAGTTTTTTTCATTTAAATTAAGTGTTTGATTATGAGTCTTGATATATGTAAGTTACAAAGATCAGAGATTTTATAGACATTTTTGTGTGTTTTGTTAACGAATTAATCTTTTTATTTGTCATCTAGTCTTGTTGATCAAAGAGTAGGAAGATTAATATCAATGAAAATTTGGTGTCAGTTTGTGTTGGAAAAAGTTACAAAGCATTGTGCAGAGATTGCAACTCATCGCCATGGCTGCTGTGTACTGAAATCTTGCATTTCAAATTCTGTTGGAGCTCAACGTGAGAGACTCATAGATGAGATATGATATACTTTGCATTATATGCATTTAACATGCATTTAGAGTAGTTTTCATGCATACATTTCTCATAATAGGCTAGTTTGCACCATTTATCACATTTTAGGTCCTAGAACACTTTGCATTAGTATTTTACATATTTCTTGCATCATATTCAGGTTGTTTTAGATATACTGTAGCTATGAAGGGTGTGTGGATATGCTAAGGATCGAAAGGGAGCCAATAGATACGTGGAGAAACTCAGCCATGCAGCGAAGAAACCGAGATTGAGAGGCGAATCAAGCTAGGCAGGTCGATCTAGACGAGATCGACCACAAGATCGAGACATTCGGGTCGTTTCAAGGAAGAGGATCGAGGTCAAGATCGACCAAGGTGATCAAACGTGAATACGGACACGGAACTAAGCCCGGGAAGAACGAGAGCCAGATCGAGCTCACGGCTCGATCGTCCGAAGATCGACCAGAAGATCGAGAGAAGTGCTCGATCCAACCTACGGAATCGACCCGAAGATCGAGCGAGAGAAGACGTTCTACGAAGACGATCGAGTAAGAGATCGACTGCTCAGATTGATCTCTAAAACCTTATCCAGACAGCTTACTTTTGGAGTTTAGTGAGGGGACCATTTTTTGGGTTTACCCTATTTTTGGAGCAACAAAAGAGAGCCATCCGATATCTTACACTTTGTCTCCTATCTTTTATGTTTATGCTTTAGAATAGCTGCCATTGTTTTATGTTTTCAAGCTTTTCATCTTTGTAGAATCTTAATCTAATTTTAATCTTAAGCATTTCTCTTAATTTGTTTTCTTTAATCGTTTTAATCATGCTCATCTTTTCTTCCTTTGCATTTTCGTGTGTTTTAATCATGAGTAGTAAGTAGTCATCTATGGATTTAAGATTGAGGTGATTAAAGGGTTTTAAAGGTTTAAGCTTTGGTCTTTTTCTTGTTATTAACGTAATCTCTTCTTGGATTTGCAGGTTTTAATGCCTAGAGAGTCTTGGGAAAGATCTCTTTGATCTCAGGGGTTTCCTTACCTTAGCAGGATTTAGGAGATTCCTTAAAACCAAATCCAAGAGACTAGCTCATCCTTTCCCAAACGCTATGGATGCTTAGGGAGCTAGTTAAGCCATTATTTGAGATTTATGCTTCATGTTCTTCAATCTTTCTTTCCACCACACGCCATGGGTTAGGAGGAAAGGTTGAGAAAAGGTTTATACCAAACACCATGGATAAATCTAGTTTAGCTTCTCAAGGCTTAGAGATAGCACTCAAAAGTGTAGATCTATGTTTTCAAAACCCAAAGTTTGAATCTTGAACCTCTTAAGCATGACCCTCAACCTTGAATCTTCTTTTAGCATTTAAAAACTTAAAGTTAATTTCCTAGTTCTAAAGTTTGCATCTTTATTCTTAGTTTCTTAAAAATCATCCTAGGTTGTTAGATCTTTCCTTGTCTGTCTGTCTTCAGCTTTGGAATTTTAAAAACTAGTAGTCTTGCATTTTAAATTCTTAGAAGTCATCTAGTAGTTGTTTAACCCATCAGTAGGGATTTTAAAATAGTTTTCGTGGTCATTTAGTTGTTGCATTTAGTTTTTACTGATTTTCTCCTCTATTTATCCGATTTCACTTATATTTACTTAGCTCTTGTATTCCTAGTGTTCTTTCATCAACCTAAGCTGGATTGACACCTATTGCACCTATAATACAACTATATTGTGCTTTAGGCTTTGATTGATTTAAACAGCTGAGTAAAAACCTTGTTATCAAATGGCGCCGTTGCCAACTTGGGTTTGATTTGAAAGTATTAGGATTTGGAGCTTAGTAGAGACTTTTTACTTTGATTACTAATCTATCTACCTTCATACTTGTATTCTCAGGTACATGAATCTGAGGTATAGTGGTGACAACAATCTACTACAACCTCTAGACAACATTCATCAACTCGGAAGTACAAGGCAAAGAAGGGCAGTAGAACAAGCAGAAGACTTTGAGGAGATATTGCAACCGGATATTCTTGCTTTTGAGGTCATGGCTGAGCAAGACCAAGCTGAGGCTCCACCTCACCGTGCTGCTGCTGGAAGGGGTAAAGGAAACCCCAACCACGCCCCAAGGCAACCAAGGATCATTGGTGCGGGTGATGCACCAAACACTCATCACAACCGTTTTGGCATCACACCACCACCGGTGCAAAACAACAACTTCGAGATCAAACCAGGCTTTGTCTCAATGGTGCAGAACAATAAGTTCCATGGACTTTCAGTGGAGGATCCCTTGGAGCATTTAGAAAACTTTGAGCAAGTGTGTGGAATGATCAAGATCCATGGGATCTCGGAGGACAGCTTCAAGCTTAGGCTTTTCCCTTTCTCACTTGGGGATAAAGCAAGGCATTGGGAGAAGACCTTACCTCAGGGGACTATAACCTCATGGGCTGATTGCAAGAAGGCATTTCTGTCTAAGTTCTTCTCAAGTACAAGAACAGCTCGGCTAAGGAGTGAGATTAGCGGTTTTACACAAAGGCAGAATGAGATCTTTAGTGAAGCAATGGAGCGGTTCAAAGACTACACCATTGCATGTCCTCGTCATAATTTCACCGAGGAGACACTCTTGAGCACCATCTATAGAGGAGCTCTTCCCAAGATTCGAATGCTCCTAGACACGGCGAGTAAAGGGAACTTTCTTGGACAAGATGTAGAAGCGGGAATGGAGCTTATTGAGAATCTTGCTTTGAGTGATGGCAACTACGCTGAAGACTATGATAGAGCACCAAGAGGGTCTGACCTTGAGGCACATAAGAAGGAGCTGAAGTCACTTTATGAAAAGATTGACAAGCTGGTACTTGCAAATCAAAAGCATGTACACTTTGTGGGAGAAGCTACGAATGTTCTAGAAGAGTTAGAGCAGAGCCAAGAGGAAGCGAATTGGGTTGGAGGCCAGAACTATACTAAGCCACAGGGCTATGTTCAAGGGTATCAAGGCAACAACAACCTGTCTTACCGAAGTACCAATGTGGAGAACCCTAAAGATCAAGTGTACCCTCCACAACAAGGAAAACCTTTTGTTCCTTATAACAAAGACAGGTTTACACAAAACAATGGGTACCAAGGGCAGAGACAAGGCAACTTCCAAGGCCAAAAACAGCAAGTGAACAAAGGCTATCCTCCTGGTTTCGTGCCTCAACAGCAACAAGTTCAACCTCCACCTCAAGATCCAGTTCAAGCTATGTTCCAACAGTTACTTCAAGGACAATCAACTATAAATCAAAAGTTTGTTGATATGAAAAATAGGCTGGACTCCTCTCTCACTGAGGTATCTACACAAATCACCAACTTGAACAACAAGATTCGCCAGCTAGAGAAAGGAAAGGCAAGTTCAAGCGGTCAAGGTAGCTTACCCGGGAAGTGTGAGACAAACCCTAAGGAGTATGCCAACGCGATTACTTTGAGAAGTGGAAAAGAGCTACCACCACAGTCTACACCTGAAGACAAAGAGGACATTGTGATTCAAGAGGGGGGGAGTAATCTCTCAAATGATCAAGAGATCACGTTTGACAATGTCTACATTGCAAGGCCAGAGAAAGGCAAGGAAGCGGTCTTAGAGAAAAAAGTGGAGGAAGTTAGCAAGGAGAAAGAAGCTTTCGTGCCTCCACCTTACAAACCGAAGCTCCCCTTCCCTGGACGTTTCAAGAAGCAGTTGATTGAGAAGCATAAAGCCTTGTTTGAGAAGCACAAAAGGAACGTTTAGATCAAGCTGCCGTTGGTTGATTGCTTGGCTATGATGCCAAAATATGTCAAGTTCTTGAAGGATACTCTTGCTAAGAAGGATAAAGAGAGTGAAGAAGTCTTGGTATTGAGTCAAGAATGCAGTGCAATCAGCCACAAGGAGATAGCACCAAAGAAGTGATAAGATGTTTTCTACTGGTGCTATGATGTGTCAAGATGCAGCAGAGAGGTTATCAAAACTCTAATGCACACAGAGATGTAGTATAGTGAGCAAGAGAGGAATCAATCCACACCTAGGGGTAGCAAGATCACTAAGAATGCAAAGGAATGAGCAAATCTAAGCAAAATATGAAAATGATTGGTAAAATCCCTAAAAACTAAATGCAAGTGTCAAATTCAAAGCAAAACAATTTTAAAATCCCTGGAAGAGGGTTAACTACCACGAGAAACAAGCGGAATACTTAAAATGCAAAGCTATGAATTAATAAAAATCGACTACTGGTCCCCCTTTCGCTAGCGTCCAAGAACAGGCTGGACGGATAAGGTAAGTCTGGGATCGGGCAGGCGACTCGATCTGGCTCTCGATCTTCGGCTTGGATCGGGTGACTTTGCTCGATCACTGAGTCGATCTCGTCTGGATCGGGTTGGAGACTCGATCTAGTTCTCGATCTAGTTCTCGATCTGCATGGCGTCATTTACGTATGTACTTCAGATCGATCTCCTATCTCGATCTTGGTCTCGATCCGTTCCCTTGCATCGGCTTGATCACTCGATCTTCTGGTCGATCTCATCTAGATCGACTTGCCTTGCTCGATCTGCTACTCGATCTCGGGTCCTTAGCATGCAA